GGGCCCTGAGTTGTCGGTCCAAAATCTGATCAGTATTTGAACAAGAATCCTTGGCAGCGAGCTTCTATGATCCCCAGAGGTCGCCTAGATCAAGTCCCCCGACCATGGACCAACTTCTGTCACAATTTGTCCGCCCGCGCCTTTCTCACTCAGCTGATGATGAACCTGGATCATCACCGGACAACCCGATTGATCTGGATGATAGAACGGATGAAAAACATGACACGGAACCTCTCAGTGAAGATCGAGAAGCATCACACCTCGGAGGCGACACCGAGCGTGAGTGCGATAGTGAAACTGATGATGGAAGGAACAGCGAGGCAACGTCAATTCAGGACTTGGAAGGGGAGTCGCAGACGCAGCCACAGTCGGGGTCACGCCCTGCAGAACCCACCCAGCCAGAACCAGAGCCAGAGCCAGAGCCAGAGCCAAAGGCGGCCAATGCATGCGAACGTGAGTTTCCCTGATACTGTGGGCTGCAGAGGGCATATATTAATGAATACAGGAGGCCTCGACTGCGTTGGCAGCGGCAAGGAGAATGTTGAACCATCGCCGCCACGGTCCATTTCCGGTGCACTGCCAGATAACATCTCCGAGGACGGACCCTCGAAGGAAACCCATGCGAGAGTCGGCGACTCTTTCGCACCCCACCTTGAGCCAGACACAAGCGGCCCCCATATCCTGCTACATTGTGAGGCTAGGGAAGGGCATCTTGAATTTCTCCTGTGGGCACCCATATGGCAGTCGGAGGATGACATTGTGAAAGTCCATCCGAATCAGCTTAAGTGATACAAGAAGAGGTTGGACGTCGGGCCTGCAAGAAGAGCCTCTCAGGCAAGAAAGTGAGCACAGTCCCCTTTTTCAGAGGCTAGGAGATCATCACATCAGAAAAAGCCGCAGAAGTGCTAAATATAGGTTCGGTTGAATGGGAGTCAGTGAATTACTTTTGTTTCATTGTTGTCTTGTCTTGTATGCTTGTCTTGCTGGTATATCTGACTAACTTGAGGTTAGAGGATCTGGCATGTGAGGCCATGCATTTATCCAGATTGTATTGTCGAGTGATTAGAATCTGCCCAGCCAACACTGAACGCTATGTATATGATAGTCATTTTGGATTACATCAAGTACAAAAATTCTAGCAGAGCACTGGTGACCCGATTCAGTCACTAGTCAAATGTTAAACCCCTTTCCGGACTATCCCACACCAGTACATCTGCAACTGAAGCAGTCTAAATACAACAATTCTTCAGAGACAAGATCACATACTGGAGGGTGGGATTTCAGCGCATCGACGTGTTGTTGATGGAAGATATTGTGTTCTTGACGATAGGTTCTATGCTGTTGATGGTCTTTGGTTGCCTCCTCATGGTCACCATGAAAGTTGATCTATCGCGCTTGTGTTCTGCTCAAAGAGGGTTTGCGCAGGCCTGGGATATATGGAGTGACAAGCAAATGCCACCTCTGGGCGTGGCACGTGATCCTACTTTTCATGGTTGATTAGGGCCCTGGTTGGAGAAACTGTAAGGGCGGATTTTCAATATACAATTATCAAGGATGAAATCTAGGTGAGCCATCGAAAAGTCTTTATCAAGTCACTAAAGGTTTCCTAGCTTGTTGATATTATGTATAAGGCAAAATCCTTCCTTAGACAGCGTGAATGCAGCAACAAATCGGTAGGACCTTGCTTTAACTGAGTACACTAAATAAATTTATCATGCGTGAGGTTTCCTAGTTCAAACTGGGTGATCGCGTCATCGTAGGCCTTGATAATTGGGTCGTATAAGCGGCTTGGGTCTTGGGGAGTGCCAACAATAAGGCCTTTGTCATTGTAAGGAAAGAAAATGTCTCGTAGTACCCGACTAAGTGGTAAAACGCCACGAAATTTTGGAGGGAACTCCCTCAAAATGAATCCAAATCCCATGTTTTCAGCTTTGCTCATATGGCCAAGCTTGGCGTTTGCAATGTCCTCATAGTTACCAGCATACCAGGCACGAAGTTTACTATCTTTAGAATACTTATCCTTCCCCCAGCCATTACGGGCGAACTGCCAGATAAGCACGTAGAAAAACGACTCAAGATCATGCCGATAGGTATGGTCGATATTAAGTAGCACCTCGATCGCCATGAACTCCATCGTGCCAGTCTGGTGCCGCGCGCCGCTTCGCCCGCTTCCGACTTCTTTGGCAAGATCCAGATCGATCAGCATGCCCGAGTGACCATCCGCCTTATCTGGATCGGTGATGATTATGTTGTTCTCCGAAATATCCCAATGAAGGAAAGAGTTTGACGAATGAACACTGCAAAGGAAAAGTCGAAGTAAATCAGATAAGAACAAGGGCGAGTAGAAAGAAACAAGGAACAAGTGTAAACAATCCAGTCAAGGGAAAATCATAAGAGATTCGTAGACGGGTGTTAAAGGAAAAACAGTGTTGAAGATCTCCTTTTCTTTCATCAGGTCAACATCGGGGTTGAAAGTGTGGAAAAGATTATTCAGGGATACTTCCAAAAGAGGGGTCCTTTACGCTCCCTCCAGCATCGCCGAGGCCGGCAACGGGGCGATTGTAGGACCAGCCTTCGAACTGTCGTTGCATGGTTTGAGATATAACAGGATCCTCAACGTACGAGTCAACAGGTGCTTCGGCCGTGAGTACCTTACGGAAATTCGTTATGTCCTGCCCGTCGACCTGTCATATTAATACTCTACGTGGTCCCAGAAAGAGCAGATCTGAACCTAAGCAGGGAATTAAGTATGTCGAGGGGCCCAAAGA